CTCTGCCTCCGTCTTCGGATGGCCTTCTCTATGTCTGTGTCTCCTCTCCTGTCTCTTAGAAGGACACTTGTCATTGGATTTAGGGCCCATCCTAAATCCAGGATGATCTCATTTGAAGATCCTCAACTTAATTACATCTGCAAAGACCCTTTTTCCACATAAGGGCTCATTCACAAGTTCGGAGGATCAGGACTTGGATGTATCTTTTTGGGGCCACCATTGACCCCACTACACAGAGAATGGGGCCTGGCCCAGGGTGGAGGCGGGAGACCAGGGGGAGGTGACTGCACCGTTTCAGGCTTGTGACGGTGGGGTCTTGGCCGTGCTTGTGAGATAACCGGATTGCAGCTAGTCTGCGTTGGAGAAAGTCATTTGTTCTACCCATCCTTGAGGACCTCCTGTGCCCCACACCCTGTCTGGGCTTCGGGGATGCCATGGTCACCATGACACGCCATGAACGCACCAGATGATGCTTTTCCTGTCCTGTGGAGCCCACAGCCTAATGAGGGAGAAGGATGCTCCAGAAGGAAATGAGGAAATAATTTAAACATCAGAAAGTGACAAGAAGAATACAGCACGTCGGGGAGAGGCAAGGATAGTGCATGACTACTGCAGCCAGGGTGGTAGGTATGGGGCACCCAGCACAGGTGGTCAGATGAGAAGGAGCCAACCGTGCAAAGACCTGGGGGACGGAGGAGTTCTCCAGGCAGAGGGAACAGCAGGTGCAAAGCCCAGAGGCAGGACCCGACCCTCCTGGGCAGAGTAACGATGAGTCCCTCTTTTTCAATGCTTCTTCTTGGTTGGGCACTTAATACATTTGACAGGTATTAGGCCGAGAATTGCACTGTTCCCCCATTTACAGATGCACTGCTGTCCTGGGCCCTGCTTCCTCTTTGTAAATAGGACAATGGCAGTACCTACACTTTGCTGAGCTGGAGAACACTTGGAGCTTGTTATGTTCAGTCTCCTGATATTCCAAGTAAGGAAACTGAGGCCCAGAGAGGGCAGGGTCTGCCCAGGTGTCATAGCTGGTAAGCGGTGGAGTAGGATCTGAACCAAGGCCATTGACTCAAGGGCACTTTTTCTTTCTTCTGGGCTCTGCTGGGGCTCAGAGCTCCGGGACAGACACTTGAGGAATCAGTGTTTGCACTAGGCCCTCAGATCATGTCCTGCCTCCTCCCCTGGACCATTACTCCCAGGGGACCTCCTGGGCTGGCCCCCGCTCTTGGAACTTGCTTGTTCCTCTTTCTTCCTTACAGGGTAGGTATGAGTCAAGTTGCTGGGCAGATAAAATGCTAATTCAATTCTGTTTTCTTACTGACAGTGCATACCTCCCTGGGGAGAGGATAGCAACAGAGTTTATTGAGAATGTAGGACACGCCAGGCCCTGTCCTTAGAAGTCTCCATCCATCTCTTTTATCCCCTAATGACCTGGAAGGCATGGGATCTTATTGTCCCCATTAACCAGGAGGCCCAGAGAGGGATGTACCCACCCATGCCCACTGTATGAGTGTCCTAGGGCTGCCGTAACAAATTACCACAATCTTGGCAGCTTAAAACAAAAGGAGTTTGTTGTCTCAAAGTTCTGGAGACCAGAAGCCCAAAATCAGCTTCTGGGGGGTCCAAGCGTCCTTGGCTTGGCTTGTGGCTGCATCACTCCAGTCTCTGCCTCTGTCTCCTCAGAGCCTTCTCCCTTGTGTCTTTGTGTTCTCTCTTCTTCTTTTTTTTTTACTTTTTTGGCTGTACTGTGCAGCATGCAGGATCTTAGTTCCCCGACCAGGGATTGAACCCACGACCCCTGCAGTGGAAGTGCAGTGTCTTAACCACTGGACTGCCAGGGAAGTCCCTCTCTCTTCTCGTAGAGATACCTGTTATTGGATTTAGGGCCCACCTAGGCAATCAGGATGACCTCATCTCATACTTACCTTAATTATATCTGCAAAGGCCCTGTTTCCAAATAAGGTCATAATCTGAGGTTCTGGGTGTACATGAATTTTTGGAGACACTCTTCAACAACTGCAGTCACACAGGCAGAAGAGACTGGGCTGCATTTGAGCCAGCCTGTGGGACACCAGCATCGTCCTTACATTCTAGGCCCTGTTTCTAGTGCTGGGACTACAGCCCTGGACACAATAGACAGAAAGACAGGGTGCCTGCACTCATGGAAAAAGACAAAGAATTCGGGAAACCCACAAAGGAAGATGGCAGTTTTAGATTGTGATGATCACTTTGAAGGAATAAAACGATGGTGGTGGGGGGGTGTGGGTGCTGGGAATGTATCAGTTACCTATGGCTGTGTAACAAATTACCCCTTTAACTAGGGGCTTAAAAAATGATCATTATCATCTCCTATGTCTAGGCTTCCTTACAGCTCTGTGCTGGGTTCCCAGGGCCAGTGTCCTGAGAGAGAGGGAAAGCTAGAGGGCATGAGGGCTCCTGCGTGCTGGGAAGAAGGTGTGCTGTCTTTGTGCACTGGGCTCAGAAGTCACATAGCATCACTTCTCCTACATTCTCTTCCTTAGAAGCAAGTCCCTCAGTCTGCCCACACTCGAGCGGGTGGGAAATAGAACCCACCTTTCGAAGGGAGGACTGTCAAAGGGTTTGCAGGGATATTTTAAAATAGCCATACTGATCCAAGCTGGGCAGGACTGGGAGGACCCCTCTGAGCAGGTGTCATTGGAGCTGAGAGGTGAAGGATGAGAAGGAGCCGAGATGAGGGGCCTGGTGCAGAGTATTCCAGGCAGTGGGAGCTGGGCCAAGGCCCTGGGGCAGGAACCTCTGCCCTGCTGAAGATCAGGGAAGGAGGCAAGAGCAAGCTGGGGCAATGGAGGGTGATGAGGTGGCCAGATGCATGGGGCTGGGCCGTGCTGGACCTCACAGGCCACAGGGAAGGCATTTGATTGAAAAAACAGTGGGAGCCTTTGGAGGGTTAAAACATTATTTAAAAAAACTTTTTTGATTTTTGATTTCTAAAAAATTTTTTAAAAATTTAGGGAATTCCCTGGGTGGTCCAGTAGTTAGGATGCCACACTTCCACTGCAGGGGGCCCATTCCAATCCCTGGTCAGGGAGCTAAGATCCTGCAAGCTGCATGGCGTGGCCAAAACAATTAAAAAATAAAAAGAATTTTATTAAAAAATTTTTTAAATTAAAAAATTTAATTACATTTTTATTAAATTTTTTTTTTTTTTTTTTTTGTGGTACACGGGCCTCTCCTTTTTTTTTTTGTGGTAAGTGGGCCTCTCCCTGTTGTGGCCTCTCCCATTGCGGAGCACAGGCTCCGGACACGCAGGCCTAGCGGCCATGGCTCACGGGCCCAGCCGCTCCGCGGCATGTGGGATCCTCTCGGACCGGGGTACGAACCCGTGTCCCCTGCATCGGCAGGCGGACTCTCAACCACTGCGCCACCAGGGAAGCCCAAATATTTTTTATTTTTAAAATTTATTATTTTATTTTATTTTTTTAAAATCTGTGTTAAAAACATTTTACTATGGAAAATTTCAAGCTTACAGAAGTAGAGAGAATAATGTAATAAACCCATGTGCCCATCCCCCAGCTTCCGTGATCTTAATATGATTGTTTCCTCATCTCCACCCACTTCCTCCTGTGTGTGAATCTCAGTGGCACATCTTTCTATCTGTTAGTTTTCCAGAGTGTACATCTGGAAGGTAAGGACTCCTGTTTTTAACCTTGCCACAGACAGTCTTCATGAGTTTTATTCATTCATTCATTTTTATTGTAGTAAAACACATATAAAATTTACCATTAGCGACACTGAGTACATTCACAGTGTTGTGCAACCATCAGCTCTGTCTAGCTCCAGAACATTTCCATCACCCCAAAAGGAAACCCTGTCCCCATTAGCAGTTACTCCCCATTCCCCCTCCCCCAGCTCCTAGTAACCACCAATCTGCTCTGTCTTCATGGGTTCTTTTTGAGGTATAATTTACATATAATAAAATGCACCTGTTCTAAGTGTTCATTTAGGATTTGGGGAACCACACCCAGGTAACCTTCCTGGGGGTAGAGTGAGGACCACCTGTCTCGGTCAGGGCAGAGCAAGCTGCTGTAACAAACAGGTCCCCACTTGACAGTGGCTTAACCCAGCACAAAGTTACTTCTCAGAGTCAGGTGGCAGGGCAGAGAGCCAGGTAAAGCCAGAAGACCACTTGTTTCTTGAGCTCCTGCACTGAGAAATTCTAGCTTTCTTGGTTCTGTGATCTAAAGCCATTTCTGTTTGCTTAAAACAACACAAACAAGTTCATGTCTCACTCATCTGACAGCCTGGCATCATCAGTGATGGCTGCTCATCTCCACAGGGTCATTCAGGAACCTGGCTCCTTCTACTGGGGTTCTTTCTTCCCCTGGGGCCTCTGATCCCCTTGTCTCTACTAGCAGGTGAAGACAGAGGAACAAGACACCTGCCATCAGGGCCTCTCGCTAGCCTGTCTTCTGGCCTCACCTGGGGCAGAGGCACCTCCTCCCCTGGGTGGGGGCACACGTGCTGGATGGCTCAGCCACCTGTGCCTAGTGCCACTGAGTAACTTGGGAGTGGAACAGCCCCTCAGCTCAGGGGGTGGACCCCGGGGTCCGGTTGAGGCAGGCGAGGCGTGAGGAGTCCAAGCTGGAGGCAGTGGGGGGTCAGTATGGGGCACTTGGGCTGCCCCAGGAGAGAAAAACAAGGATAGGACTGGGCCTGGCTCCCTCAGGGTCACCAAGCAAGCTGTGGCGGAGGAGGACAGGGTGACTCTGATTTATACTGCATGGCCTGGCCAGCTGTGAGAATCTGCCTACTTCTGGGCTGACTGGTAAATGGCCCTTTGCCCTTAGTTTCTCCAAGAGACCCAGCAACCCGAGGGTTCTTATTGAACACTTGCCACCCTTGGGAATACAGGGACCCTTTCCTCCGCTTTCTCCACGTGGGGATGCTGAGGCTTGGGGTGGTCTCCTGGAAGCCGGGCAGGACACTCAGTGACACCGTCCCCTCGTCCCCCCTCCCAGCGGCCTCTTCGTGCTGATGCGCGTGCGCCTGGAGCTGCGGTGGCACCAGCGCGCCCGCCACACCATCCCGCAGATCTTCCAGGAGGTGGTACGGCGGCAGCCTGAGCACCTGGCGCTGGTGGACGCGGGCAGCGGTGTGTGCTGGACCTTCGCGCAGCTGGACGCCTACTCCAATGCCGTGGCCAACCTATTCTGCCATCTGGGCTACACGCCAGGGGACGTGGTGGCCATCTTCCTGGAGGGCCGGCCCGAGTTTGTGGGGCTGTGGCTGGGTCTGGCCAAGGCAGGCATGGAGGCTGCGCTGCTCAATGTTAACCTGCGGCGGGAGCCCCTGATCTTCTGCCTGGGCACCTCGGGCGCCAAGGCCCTGGTCTTCGGACGGGAGCTGGCAGCGGGTGAGGCCGGGTGTGGGCAGCATCTCGGTGGGGGCCTGGGGCCGCCCAGGGCAGGGAGATGATGCTGCCCATCCTTGACCGTGACGTATGTTTTGGGCCGCAGTGGTGGCTGAGGTGAGTGGACAGCTGGGCAAGAGCCTGGTCAAGTTCTGTTCTGGAGACATGGGGCCCGAGGGTGTCTTGCCGGACACCCAGCTCCTGGACCCGCTGCTGAAGGAGGCCTCCACAGCCCCCCTAGCCCAGCCCCCTGGCAAGGGCATGGATGGTGAGTCCAGGTGGGACCCCCCTGCCGGTGCCCCCCAGTCCGCTCGTCCCCCTCCCGCCAGCCTCCGGTCCCCGACACCCACATCTCTCTTAGATCGACTCTTCTACATCTACACATCGGGGACCACGGGGCTGCCCAAGGCCGCCATCGTCGTACACAGCAGGTGAGGGGCCCGTGGGCGTTGCCCCCAGCGTGGGAAAGCCAGTCCAGGTCCTCTCTACGGCCTGATCCCCGCAACCTCCAGCTCCTTTCGGGGCCTTGTGGGCATCTTGATCCCACCTGGGTACAACCCACAGCCCATCTCAGGACACCGTGCTGCCCTCTGCCCCTCCTCAGTCTCCTCCTGTCCCCACTCCTGCCCCCAACAGCCCCCTTCTCATCAGTGACCATAGCAAGGTTTAAAATCCTAAATCAGACCTCCTCTGTGCCAAACCTCCCTGGACCCTCCCTGGCCCTCAGAATAAAAGCCGTATTTGTGTTGTGTGGCACCCGTCACTTCTCTGATGTCATTTTCCTCCTCTCCACCTCTCGCTCGCTCCCTCCTCGACCCCTCACACTTCCTCAAACCTGCCAGACTCCTTCTGGCCCCCGGACCTTTGCATATGCTCTGCGCTTCACCTGGGTGCCCTTCCCTAGCTCACCCTACAGCTCCTTCTGGCCGGGCCTTAGCTCATGTGTCACCTCCCCAGGCAGGTTACCCCACACTCCCTGGCTTTGTCCCCTTCAGCCTCTCTCTATCCCTTTGCTCTATTATATCCCTCGTGGCAGCAAGCACCATTTTCTTTCTTTGATGCATGTTCCTCTCCTGCCAGCCTATAGGCCCCTGTGAGCTGGGCTGGCTCTGCCCCAGTACGCAGCTCGCTCCCCCCACGCCATGCTTTTTTCGGGGGTGTGGGTCCCAGCCCCTGCACTCCCTGCCCCTGCAGGTACTACCGCATAGCGGCATTTACCCACCACTCCTACAGCATGCAGGCGGCAGATGTGCTCTACGACTGTCTGCCCCTGTACCACTCGGCAGGTACCACAGGGAAGCTTGGGCGGGGGAGGGGGCGGGGGATTGGGGACCCCCTCATCGAGTCCACTCTCTGCAGGGAACATCATTGGCGTGGGTCAGTGTCTCATCTACGGGCTGACTGTGGTCCTCCGCAAGAAGTTTTCAGCCAGCCGCTTCTGGGATGACTGCGTCAAGTACAACTGCACGGTCAGGCCCCGCCCCCTCTCACACCTCCAGCCCTCCGCCCACCCTCCCAAGTATATGGCTCTGAATGGCTGCCTCCCAGGGACTCGGTGGGGCTGGGAGGGGGCAGTCAGTGCTTCTGTGCTCAAGGCCCAGCCCGAGGCTAAACCTTCAACATGTAAACTCATTGGGACCTCACAGCTGCTTGGGAGCGGGAAAGGCCTCATACCCATTTTTCAGGTGGAGAAACTGAGGCTTTTTAATGCAGCTAGGATTGGACACAGACTGCCTGAGATCCTTAAGGTGCTGCCTTCCCTACTCCCTGTGCCCCGAAGGTCTTCCCTGCTGGTGGCTGCAGGGAAATGGGTGCAGTCACCGCGCTGGGCTGGTTAAGGCTACAAAGCTCAGGGCTTCCCGGTGGGATAAGCATGAAGCCAGGTGGAGGACATCCACTGTCCTGCAGAGCAGGTAGGGGTTAAGACAAGTCCCTTCCTCTCCTCTCCCCTCCACAGTGAGAGGAGAGCAGGCCGAGGATTTCAGTGCTGTGATGGGGGTGGAAATACAGGTGCCTAGTACCTTCCTCCAGGTGGAAGGAGGAGTGAGGAGGGGAGGGAAGGGGGTGTGTCCAGGGACTGGCAAATTGGCAGGTGCTGACCCCACCTTGAACAGGTGGGGCCCAGAGACGGTCAGCCACTTGCCCAGATCACACAGCTGGACAGGGTGGGGGCTCTGGGCCGGGCATCCTGGGGGATCCCTCGGGGCCATGACTCTGCCCTGCTGTGATTTTGAGGATTTTATGTTCTGCTTGGGGTGGTGGGGGGTGGTCTGGGGAAAACTGCTAATCTGAATCTTGAAATAGAAGACAGTCCGTTTATTAACTTAACTCTTGAGAGTTGCAAATATACATAAATGTGGACAGAAAAGTTTAGGGGATTCCCAGGTATCCATCACTCGGCTCCAGAGGACATCAGATACCCTATCCTGCCCCCTCCACGCCCCCAGCACATCCCTCCTTCTGTGTTGTTGTGAAGCAGCCCCAGATAGCAGCGTGTTTCCTGCATAGATATGTCAGTAAAACCTCTGAAAGCTGAGGATTGGTCTTTTTCTTTTTTCAATTGAGGTGAAATTCACGTAAGATTAGCTTTTTTTGTTTGTTTTCAATTTTTGAACTATTTAGTTTTATTTATTTATTTATTTATTTATTTATTTATTTATTTATTTTTTGGCCACGCCTCACGGCATGCGGGATCTTAGTTCTCCAGCCGGGGATGGAACCCGTGCCTGCTGCAGTGGAAGGCCGGAGTATTAACCACTGGATCGCCAGGGAAGTCCCCAAGATTAGCTGTTTTAAAGTGGACACTTCAGTGGCACTTAGTCCATTTACAGTGTTGTACAGTCACCACCTCTATGTAGTTCCAGAACATTTCCATCACCCCCAAAAGAACATGCTGTTCCCACTGGCAGTCATTCCCCAGTCCCCTTCCCCCAGCCCCTGGCAACCATGAATCTGCTTTCTGTCTCTATGGGTTTGCCTGTTCTGGACATTTCTTATAAATGGGATCTCTGTGTGGCCTTTTGTGTCTGGTGAGGGCTGTTTTTAAAACAAAAGATTTGGGACTTCCCTGGTGGCGCAGTGGTTAAGAATCCGCCTGCCAATGCAGGGGACTTGGGTTCGATCCCTGGTTCGGGAAGATCCCACATGCCATGGGGCAACTAAGCCCGTGCACCACAACTACTGAGCCTGCGCTCTAGAGCCCGGGAGCCACAGCTACTGAACCTGCGTGCCACAACTACTGAAGCCCACATGCCTAGAGCCTGTGCTCCACAACAAGAGAAGCCACCGCAATGAGGAGCCCGTGCACTGCAACAAAGAGTAGCCCCCGCTCACCGCAACTAGAGAAAGCCCCCACACAGCAACGAAGACCCAACACAGCCAAAAATAAATAAATTAATTAATTAAAAAAAAATGAAACAAAAGATTTGAAAGCGGGGTCTCAAAGAGATATTTGTACACCCATGTTCATAGCAGATTATTCACAATAAATAAAACATGGAAGCAATCCAAGTGTTCATCAACAGAATGAATGGATAAGCAAAATGTGGTTCATCCCTACAGTGGAATATTATTCAGCCTTAAAAAGGAAGGAAGTTCTGACACAGGCTACAACATGGATGACCATTGAGGACATTATGCTGAATGAAATAAGCCAATCGCAAAAAGACAAATACTGCATGATTCCACTTATATTGGGTACTCACAGTAGCTAAAATCATAGACAGAAAGTAGGATGGTAGTTGCCAAGGCCAGGGGAGGGGGGAATGGGGAGTTAGTGTTTACTGGGTATAGAGTTTCAGATTTACAAGGTAAAAATATTTTTGGGGGGGAATTCCCTGGCAGTCCAGTGGTTAAGACCCGGCACTCTCACTGCTGAGGGACCGGGTTCTATCCCTGGTCACGGAACTAAAATCTCAGAAGTCGCATGGTGTGGCCCCCCAAAAAAAAAAAAAAAAAATTATGGGGATGGATAGTGGTGATGGCTGCTCAACAATGTGAATGTATTTAATACACTGAACTGTACACTTAAAAATGGCTAAGATGGAAAAGAAATGGCTAAATGGTAAATTTTATATTGTGTGTATTTTACCCCAATAAAAGAAAGAGTAAAAAGGAAGGAAAAAACGCCACAAACACATAACCTCAGTATCATTATCACAGCCAAAAAGTGCCAGTGATTTCTCAATTATCAGGAGTCCGGACAATGGCCTGATCCGCAGTGTTTTACCATGTCAAAATATGGGGATTTTTTGTTTTTGTATTTTTTTAAAAAATCAGTTTTTAGGTAAGACCCACACACTGCAACTAGTTGATGTTTCTTATAAGAATCCTTTCATCTGTAGGTGCCCCTTGTCTCTCCCTCATTCCCCTCCCACCCCTCCTTGTAATTTATTTATCGAAGAAATGAAGTTTGGCCTGTAGTGTTTTCCCAGTCTGGGTATTGCTGGGAGGTCCTTTGACATGCTTCTCTCTCCCTGGCACTTCCTGTAGCTTGGGAGTAGGGTCAAGCGTGGCGGTTTTTTTTGTTTGTTTGTTTTTTTAACTACTTTTTAAAATTGACATATAGTTAATTTATACAATGTGTTAGTTTCAGGTATACGGCAAAGTGATTCCGTTATATATATATATATATAAACATTATATATATATATTTTTTCAGATTATTTTCCATTTTCCATTATAGATTATTACAAGATATTGAATATAGTTCCCTGTGCTGTACAGTAGGTCCTGTTGTTTATTTTATATATAGTAGTGTATATATGTTAATCCCAGACTCCTAATCTCCCACCCATCCCCTTTGGTAACCTTAAGTTTGTGAGTCTATTTCTGTTTCATAAACAAGTTCATTTCTATCATTTTTTTTTCTTTTTTCGGTACGTGAGCCTCTCACAGTTGTGGCCTCTCCCGCCGCGGAGCAGAGGCTCCGGACGCGCGGGCTCAGCGGCCATGGCTCACGGGCCCAGCCGCTCTGCGGCATGTGGGATCTTCCCGGACCGGGGCACGAACCCACGTCCCCTGCATCAGCAGGCGGACTCTCAACCACTGCGCCACCAGGGAAGCCCCATTTCTATCATTTTTAAAGATTCCACATAGACGTGATATCTTATACTTGTCTTTCTCTGTTTGACTTACTTCATTTTATGTGATAATCTCTAGGTCAGTCCACGTTGCTGTAAATGGCGTTATTTCATTCTTTTTTATGGCTGAGTAATATTCCATTGTACATATACGTACCACATCTTCTTTATCCATCCCTCTGTCAGTGGACGTTTAGGTTGCTTCCATGTTTTGGCTACTGTAAATAGTGCTGCTATGAACATTGGGGTGCATGTATCTTTTCAAGTGAAGAGTTTTGTCCAGATATATGCCCAGGAGTTGGACTGCAGGAGCATGTGGTAACTCTATTTTTAGGTTTTTGAGGAATCTCTATACTGTTCTCCAGAGTGGAAGCACAGCATCTCTCAACCACAGCAGTGTGGATATTTGGAGCTGCATCATTCTCTGTGGTGAGGGCTGTCCTGTGCACTGTAGGTTATTTAACAGCATTTCTGGCCTAAAATCACTGGATGCCACTAGCACCCCACCTCCCAACTGTGATAATTAAAAACATTTCCAGACATTGTCAGGTGTCTTGACTGTGGTTGAGAACCACTGATCTAGATATTTGATCGCTTCAAGTTCTACTTTTTTGGCAAGGGTTCCCTGTGGGTGATGTCATGTCCTCCACTGGGAGGCCTGTGGTGTCTGGCGGTCCCTCTTTGTCTTTGATATGCTGTGTTGCATCGGGCTTTGTTCACTGTCTCCGGGCCCCTGAAATTCCATTCTGTTTCCTTGAAGGGCTATTTCTGTGACCAAGAGAAGGCACTGAGGGGCTCTTTAAGGAGTAGAGGATGGAATCCTCAAAGGTCCAGTTTAACAGGGATGCCAAAAAGACTTAAGAGCGTGCGTTTGGGTTTAGAAATCCCATCTCATGGCTGGCTGTAGGATGGGGGAAACTGCGTGGCTGTTTTATTTGCAGCAGTGGGCATGGCCCAGATCAACTGCCCAGCTATCCTCGTGGGAGGCAGCAGGCTGTAATCTAGAACTCCCCTTTTTTAGCGCATAAAGCAGATGGGCAGGCGATAGGTAAGTCAACCCATCATCCATCCATGGGTGTATAGTTCCTGTGTCTCCCCATACCCACTTGGGCGTGTACATTTGGTGTACGAGGTCACCCTGACTCGGGAGTTGTAGTGGGGGTCCCAGGTTGACAATTCACTGCCAGCTTCTGTCCAGGTGCTGCCCTGCAGGCAGGAGGTCTCGGCTGGGGCACCTGGTGTCTGCCTCTCTGAGCTGACCTGAGTTGTCTTCCCTTCAGCCCTGGGTCTGTCCGAGGGTCCAGGCCAGAGTAAAGATCAGCTGTTTGGCTCTCAGTATGTAGATGTGGCCTCAGGGCCACAGGGTCATTGAAACCTTCAGCTGCCTCAACTGTGGCTGTGTTGTCCCTTCCCCAGCCTGGTTTCTGAAGAGGACATCTGCGAGCTGCTCAGAGTGTGGCTGTGTCTACCTGTGATGGTCTGGAGGGCAGCTATGTATTTAGGCAGGACTTTGTCAGTTGACAGGTAAAACCAAAACCCTAAACCCAGCCCTAACCTAAATTCTGGCTTTCTTGAGGAAAGGGATTTATTAGCTTATGGAACCGAGGAGGCCACATGGTGGACAGCTTCAGACACACCTTGATCAAGGAGGGGCTCTCTCCCTCTCTCTCTCTCTCTCTCTCTCTCTCTCTCTCTCTCTCTCTCTCTCTCTCTCTCGTTTTCCTCTTTCTTTTGTTTTCTTCTTTCCTTAGTGGGTGGCTTTCTCCCCAGCCCTGCTTCTCCAGGAGTGTTTCCCGCAGTTCTAGTTGAGAAAGAGCCTGTCTTCCCACCAGTCCATTAAAAGTCTCAGGGCTGATTCTCATTGGCTTAACTGTGGTCACAAGTGTATCCTTGAACCAATCAGTGTCTGGGGATGGACTGGACTGATTGGCCAGGCTGTATGACTTGTTCTGTCCCGGAGATGGGGTGGGCTGGGCCACACCCAAAGCACATGAGGGAGCCTGGGGGCAGAGGGAGAGAAACCATCAGGGTCTCTGATCTTGCCTTGCCTGGGGCCTGCTTCCTGGTCAGCAGTGGGTGATCTTGGGCCACCTGTGTCCCCTCTCTGGGTCTCAGTACCTTCCTCTCCAACATGGAGTCTCAGGAAGATTAAACAGATGAGCTCTCTGCTTGGCTGGTAGTGAGTGCTCAGTGCACTTGTATTTATCAGATACTTATTAAGTCCTGCTCAAGGAATACCTCTCAGTCACGGTGACATTTGAGCCAAGACCTGAGGACCCAGGTGCATCTGGGGGAAGATTTTCCTAGGCAGAGGGCACAGTATGTGCAAAGACCCTGAGGAGGAGGCCCATGTGGCAGAGCCGAGTGAGCATAGGAGTCAGAGGGACAGGGGGCAGTGAGGGCGGCAGGGTCAGATGGAGTTGATCACAGGTCGGATTTTGTACTTCGTCTAGTGAGTACTTTGAAGCTGTACTGATTGCCGTGGTGGATAATTCTGAACATGTAACTGCTTTGTTGAGACTCTGGAGCCAGGATGCCCAGATACATATCAAATTTTACCACATTATCAGCCTTGGTGGTTACTTACTGTCAGTGAAACTCAGTTTCTCCATCTGTAAAATGGGGAGGGTATCATTAAGAAGCCGTCCTGGAGATGAGGACTCAAGGGCACCTGGGGTGTCTGGGACTTGACCCCAGGGGGTGGAGCCAGGGAGAGCCAGGGAGAGACAGGGAGAGAAGGAGCCCTGGGGGCGGTGCGGGGGGGGTGGGCAGGCAGTGAGTAGGTGACTCCATGGGCAACTGGGGCCGGGTCCCTGCTGTGACTTAAGGGAGGCAGCAAAGAGCATGCACCTGAGAGTGGTCCCACTCCAGGATCAGGACTGTGGGCACCCTGAGCTCAGATGGTTGGGGCTCTGGGGGACAGTGTAGAGCACATCGCCTCTGGGCTAAGGGTTGCCCTGTGGAGTGTCAACGCCACGGCTCACCTTCCTGCCTGCGTGCACCACACGTGGTGTCCCCAGAAAGCAGCGGAGGGGATAGAGGGACCGCTGGAGGGGCATGGGGGACACGATGCATCCACTCAGATGGAAGGAGCATTGGGGATTGAGGAAATGGATAGGCCTGGTCTGTTTCCTTGCTATTATTATCTTTAAGGCCGTTTTGTTCCTAGCGCCCAGCTTGGAGTGGGGCAGGTCGCTGGGTCTGGCGGTCTCTGGCCCGCGGCAGCCTCCACCCCCAGCCGGCTCCTCTCTGCTCCAGCGCAGGCGCCCACTGCTCACTTCCCACTCACCTAGGTGGTCCAGTACATTGGGGAGATCTGCCGCTACCTGCTGAAACAGCCGGTGAGCGAGGCAGAAGGGCGGCACCGCGTGCGCCTGGCGGTGGGCAACGGGCTGCGGCCAGCCATCTGGGAGGAGTTCACGGAGCGCTTCGGCGTGCGCCAGGTCGGCGAGTTCTACGGAGCCACCGAGTGCAACTGCAGCATCGCCAACATGGACGGGAAGGTGGGCGCGGGCGGGGCGGCCCGGGCAGGCCTCGGGGCTCAGGGATCGCTGCTACCTATGCCTCGCCAGCCCCGTGTCCCCAAAGAACAGCCTGGATTGTGGTGGGCAGTTTGGCCAGGGCACTCGGATGCTTGCTTCTGGCTTGCGCAGTCATGTGACCGTCGCCCCTGAGTTCAAATTCACAGTGTGACTGTGTTGCCCTGGGCAAGCACCTCAGCCTTTCTGAGCCTCAGTTTGTAGCAGTGGAGGTGGCAGGGGAGAGCAGGGCTCTGGGGGATCCAGGGCCAGAAATGGGGTGCTGATCTCCTACTGGGCAAGTCACTCAGACTCCTTGGGTCTTCGTTTCCTTATCTGTAAATGGGGTTAACAACTTATTAGGTTTGTTCTAATCACCCAACATCATGAGCTCAGCACAGCACCCCTTCCCCGTGCAGCAGGCACTCTGCAAACGGATGCTTTTATGATTAACAAGTATTATCTCCACTCTGTCCTCTCAGGACCCTCCTTCTCCCTTATTAAGCCCTTCCCATCCAAAGTCAGGGACAGAGAATGCGAAGAATAATACATCGCCCTAGGGGTAGGGGTTCTTTCTGTCTCTCGCTGCTGGGTGCCCAGCACCTGAGGACAAGGCACAGTCCCCACCACGCACATCTGTTGAATGGACAGCCCCAGAGCACACTCTGGCTGTACCAGCAGAGGCTGCCGCTCTAACAAATACACCCAACCGTGTGCAGCAGCAGAAACCCATTAGGCCTTTCTGCTCATAGAACTGAGCCAGGCAGGGTGACATGCAGTGGGCAGCGGGCAGAAGGTCTGCCAGTGTCCCTACATGGCTTCAGGATCACTTTGGCCATCCACTTCCTGCCAGCCTGGAAAGTTTTAAGGACCAGGAAGTGGCGGCCGGCTGGCAGGTCTCCTCACGTGACTGCAAGGGAGGCTGGGAAGGTGGGAGAGGGGGGCACGATTCCTGGCAGGATGCTGCACTTAATACCCCCCTCTTTCAGATCATCCAAGGTCACAGAGTTGGGTGACACTAGGAGTGCTAATTCCAGGCCCTGGGGCAGGAGAGGCAAGGTGTGTGTGTCGGG